CTAGTGGCTGCATAACGCAACCGCAGCCACTATTTTAGCGTCTATTCTATGTGCCTTATAATGCGGTGCACCCCATATATGAAAGCCGTTTTAAAATAGGCCATTCATTGAAGGTGCGCCTTATACTACGAAGCGCCTTATAGTGTGGAAAATACGGTAATTTTGATACCCATCAATACACATGGTGCAGGTCTCGAACAGTATCCTCGCCACTACTTGTCTGCGGCATGAATACTCATCCACCATTGTAAACGTTGGCGGTGTTTGCGCACGGCCACACCAGAACTGGGACAACCGCATGATCATCTCTGGATGCTCATTGGATTGATTGCAGTTAGAGCCTGTCATGGACAAATGGCGCCAGGAGGTCATTGTGTGCCACTCTGACACGTAACAATGTTGACTGTTTCATGTCAAATGAAGAATATGGCGATGTTTCATTGGCAAAACTTCAGCCACTTCTTATTACTCTGAAAAGGGGCTAATATACACCGATAAAATCAAATGGTCCCGACTAACGACATTACGTAACGGGTGGCATGAGACTCACCACTACACGCTGCTGATGAGCCAAATAAAGATAATACAATGTGCCCTTTGACATTCTTTGTCTTCTTGTTGTGATAAATAGCCACGGGAGGAAGGAACAACACAAACAGCACAATGCCCTCCTTTGTTTATCGTCGTGTTCTTCAAATATTTGTCACCTTGATGTCACACTATTTTTACACCTGACTTGACGCATGCTGGCGGCGTCGACACAAGGCAGGTCAGGCTTCACGATTCCAAACAGCATTCCCAACTGCACTGCAAGCCCAAGCTCCAGTCACGTCTCCTCGTCACTGATTGTCTCTTCCAGCCGCAGACCAATTTGAGTCCGTTTGCCTCTAATGACTCGGACCGCAGGTCTGCGAGCGCTAAGTGTTGGTTCACATTTGTGCGCACACGGTGTTGATGTAAGCTGTGCCACTTGTTTAAATTGTCTCCCGAGGATACGAGCGGGGAAATGAACAACTTAATTGCAATGTTTTCTGTAAATTAGCTGCAGAACACTTGTTAGCTGCGAGGCAAGGGGTGAGCATGAAGGGAAAAAAATGGTTTGGCACAAGTGAAATCTATTTCATAGATCTAGCTGTAAAAAAAAAAAAAAAAAGAAATGGATGGAATCAGCGACTGATTTGACTGCCGATTCTGACTCTGCATGCTCATGTTGATCAAATGTTGTTTGGTTGAAGTGAAAGTGGGTCAGGAAGTTCTTGTCAAGCCTCGGTTCAAGTACCGTTTGCGGTTCTTGTATGTGTATTCCGTGCGCATGCCAAACTTTTTTTTTTTTTTTTGCTATGCAAATAGGAAATATGTTTATGCAAATGATCATCATATTGTCCTGGTTTGGCACAATGGGAGCACTGAGAGCATAAAAGGGAACGAAACCCATAATAACTCATCTCCTCATTGTTTGCTGCGACACTCTGCGGTGAAATGAGCGGTGTTTTAATAGCCTCGGGTTTTATCGGCTGAGCTTTGTGTCCCGACTTGAAGAAAAAAAAAATATGGAGATAATGAATGTTCTTGCAACCACCAAACCGACAGTATGATTTTAATTCCATTGTGGATTCTAATAAAGTACAACAAAACAATTGTGCCGACTTCCATTGGCAGACAACGCAAGCTTTTGATCGAAGTTATTATTATTATTATTATTTATTTTTATTTTTTTATGGGAGTAGAGAGCTTGTTTCCATTTTCAGGATGCCAGACAGAATACGCGGATGGAGTTGCACAGAAGATCACGTACAGTCGTTCTCTGCTCTGATAGCTTCTCCATCCGGCAACCCCAGATCTCAATCGGCCTGCTCGGTAATGAATCTTTAAATTAGGAGTGAAAGCACAGGAAGACGGTTCGATTGTGTGATTATGTTCGGATGGGATCCTGACGAGATGGAGACTGTGAGAGGAACATAGTGCAGCTCACATGCCAAGAGAGCCTGTTTGTAAACCCACTTTTCGTCTAAACAGCCAAACCCCTCAAAAAGAGCGTTCAAATGAAGAATACGATGAGGTGTTCCGTGGCAAGACACGCTTCAAATGTCCGGAAGTTGACATTTGGTGATGTCACCTCAGAGGTGTTCAAATGCTGAGGCTTCCGCTTAACCCCCACGCGTCTCGACGCAGTTCAACAGCAAAATTAAACGTGAACTTGATCAATATTATGCACCGCCGCAAACTATAATGAGAGTGATGAATGACGATCTAAAATTGTTCAATGAACACCTCTCTGACAGGGTTGCAATGCAGCACCGTCAATCCCTCCCCTTCCGTCGCCCGTACACTATTTACACTGAGTACATTTGAAATAATAGTGAACACAGGAAGTAGTCTGTTCAATGGTCAGCCTGTTTTTTTTTTTTAATTCAATGTCAAACCCTCTGTAATCCTGATTTTTATGCCAACAAAAAATGAGGACATTTTATAAGTTTTTAATTGCCCCCCCAAAAAAAGCTCCGCAAAATACGGTATATATTACGCAGCTTTTTTAAAATACCCTAATATATTTTTTAACTGTGTTTGTATTCTCTAGAATGTCTCTTTGAAAACCCTACAAACAAATACGTGCCGTCGATGGTATAAGAACATGCTTAAGGAGTTCTTATATAGGGTACTTCCATATCACTTATTGTGGGTGTGGTCTGGAAGGCAACCCCTGCGACGGAGTGGCGTTTCTTGTCTTACTTTTGTCAAGACAGAATGTAAGTTAAGTCGCAGCTTTATATTTGGCAAGTGGTCAGCGTGTTGTGGCTGGTCTGTGTTTCTCCTCAGATTTTGCATCCGGCTATGAAGTTACCTTGGCAGCTAATGTAGGAAGTTGGTCAATATCGACGATGCTCTGGCACTGCTGGAATGGAATTGTTTGAGGAGATTAGCCGCTGCTGCTATTTAAGTTCTTTATTAGCCGGCAGATGAGGAATCTCACGACATTGGCACAAAAATCTCAACTTGTAGTGCGTTTTTTTGGTAAGGAACACAATCTTTTCCGAGCAGACAAAAGGGGAGTCATGAACAGTGGCCTAATGAATACTTGATTGCAAGCGTCCGCTATCTAAGGCCCAATTCTAAAAACGGACTGTCTACGAAGGGCGTTTTGGTCTCCGTAATGGTGATTTATGAGACGTATTAATGTGAAGAATTGTGAGTTCTCCTTCCCACACTTTAGCCCGGAGGCTTTTCGATTTACTGCAGCACTGCAGCTCAGAGACCAACTTATAGCAGATATCTGGAATCCTTCTGCAGGGAGCCTCAGTCTCTTTTTTAAAGTTGGAACCACTATTCTCAGAAATAATTGCGAATTGCCCGGTTGGACGATACTGTACTGGAAGCGTGCCGAAATCAGCACAATGTCAGGCACAGCGGTACAGTATATTCGATTTAACCATGCAGCACTTGAGTCCCATTTCAGACCTCGTCCCTTTTCCTGTATGGATTCGTGATTTCTACTCAAGCGAAATATTAAACTGCTGCTCGAAAGCGACAGGAATTCATCTTTCGATGGAAGTGAAAAATGCTTGTCGAACTGTTGAATTATTGAAAGGAGGCTTTCCCTTTGACTGGATATATTCCAGCAATGATTGAAGGTGCGAGTAAAAAGCAGAAGGAAATATTGACAGTCTCTCCAAAACACTCTTCTCAGCTGAAAATTCTCCCGCAACTTTTCCACTCTTCCAATTGCGAATGTTTCATTTTTTTTCCCTTTCTTTTACTTTCTCTGCACTGGACACAATGAGGAGGAAATGCTTTTCTTGTGTTGCATTTGCTTACTGGAGACTTCCCTTCCAAGAGAGGTGAATTTCTGCTGGAAGTGTCAATTCAATGTTTTGCCAAGTTTGTTGCGATTTATTTATTTTTTAAAGCCTAATGCTGAGGGAAGAGCGAAAGGTTAGAATCTGCTGTCACGCATCAGGCGACCCTGAAGTGAAGTTTGCACTTGTTCCCTCCCACATTGCAAGAACATATTTCTTTGCTGAACTGAAAACTCTAAAAAAAAATGTCGAGTGTGAATCTGAGTGCGGATTTATAGTTTGTCTATATGTGCCGTGCGATTGACTTTTCCGTCCAGGGTGCACAGTTGGGTTTGAACTTACAGCCCTGATACATTTCCTTATGTGGCATTGAGATTTCCTTTCCAATCACGACTTTGATCAAAAGGTTTGATCAGGCAACTGCATTTTAATTGCGCTTTCATCTGCAATGGGAATTTCTGGTGGGATAAATTGTTTAATTGTCCTCTTGATCTAATTTGTCTTTTTTTTTTTTTTTTTTAAGCTGCTAAGATTGTTCACCCGCTTGACCACTGACACTATCGTGTGTTAATTAGCGTTTAGAGCTTATTGCGATCAAATAACATTGCGGGGTTGGGGGCGGGGTGGGGGCTTGAACACATCGCATTGCAGTCTTCTGACCTTATTGTGTGCTGCTGTGGGCCGAAAAATTGACAAGGTGTTTGCCAGCAGCGTTAGACCACAGCCCTGGTCATTAATTATTTGAGTCGGGCGAGAAAGCAAAACCAATAGTGTCAGAATAAATTGCTGATTCTGTCTTTTCACCCCCTGTGTTAAAAAACATTGGCTCCCAGAAAACTGTTGATTTAGTAATGAAGGACAGTGGGGGGGCTACACTGTACTTACAACAGAGCGGCTCTACAAAACAAAAGATTGGTCTCGGTGTGTTTTAGCTTCAGTGATGATAGAAATTAAATTCTGGCTCCCAGAAAACTGTTGATTTAGTAATGAATGAATGTACTTACAACAGAGCGGCTCTAGAAAACAAAAGATTGGTCTAAGTGTGTTTTAGCTTCAGTGATGATAGAAATTAAATTGAAATCATGAGCATGCATTTTATTTTGTTCACTTTTAATCTATTATTTTGTGATCATTTTTGACACCCCCCCCTCCTCCCCCCGGTCCCCCCCTCACCCCCCCCCTGATTTTTATTATTTGGTGGCGACATGCTGGAAGTCATTATGAAGCGGATGGACACTCTGTCTCGACTGGGTAACACCACTGAAACCCACAAGCTGGATGAGCTCGCCTCCGTCCTAGACAGGTACACCGAGCACATCTACTTGACTGTTTCACTCTCCGCTCTGCGAACGTTGCACTTATCTCATAGGAGCAAATATGTTTTGGTGTCCAGGCCACTTTTAAGATGTACTGTCGCTATTGGATCATGACAGGTGATTCCATATGGAAAAAATGGCCAGTCAATGGTCCCTCTAGCTTCAATTCTTAAGCAAGCGTAAGGAAAGCTAATTCAGAAAGAAAAATGTTCACTTTCAATACTTGCAACAAACAAATGTGAGAAACCGCACTTTGCGCATTGGCCAGTCATTTCCCACTAAAAAAAATGTCCATTCATCAAGTAAAACTTCACCTCGGAATAATTTGCAGTTCGACGGCATCGCTAAATGCAGGTGAACACAAAGTGGCCAAAGACACCAATAAGAGCACTGCTCTTTAACAAAGCCGCCAGCCCAGATTTGAGTGTGGTTGCCATAGCAACAGACCTCTCATACTTGAATCTACTCATGGGTTTGAGTAAAGGAGGCTCCCTCCTGTTTATGTACTGGCCATCATGCTTCCATGCCGGCAATACTTTTTTTTTTCTACCTTTTGTCCATTCTTGCATGCAACTGCATAATAAGTTACAATACATCATCGTACACTGTAATACAGGGGAATGCGTTTGATCTGAAGTGACCCGAAAGTGGTACAAGTGCTTTTTTTTAGAAGCCCACAGGAAAACCCACATGGAATAATTCTGCCTCTCGCGCAGCAACATTGGTGTGGCTCAACAATTGGCCTCCGCGTACTCATCGCTCTCTTTGGAGGAGCGTGAGGATCCAAATCATGACGTTGCGATTGCATCTTGCATGTGTGTGATGCAATGACGGCAATACAGTCAGACAGAGATGCACGCATGTTTACCACATGTGCCCATCCGCCAGGGATCAAATATGAAGTTGGTGATGCAGTGCTGGTGGGTAAAAGTCTCTCTTCCACTTTGCCGCGTTTCTTGCGCATGCAAAAAAAAAAAAAGTTTGGTCAATGTTCTCATTTTTCATCCCGCTCATTGACTGAATGATCAATTCTCGACCAAAATACCTTTTGGAATTCAGTCATTAGATTTCAAATAAAACATTTAATTGGCGCTTGATAGACTCGACGGCAAATGTGGCGGTGGCAAAGGCCACCAATTTGGCGCTTGTAATTTTCTGAATGATTATACTGCCAACCTCCATTTCATCTGACGAACGCGGTTAATCAACGGCGCGCCCCGGAGACGCAGCCGTTGTGTTGCTATGATCGCTTTCGCTGTGCCTGCGTGCGTGTGCCTGCGCGTGTACTTGATTATCCCCGTTCTGCTGTTGTGTGTCTGCACGAATGGCATTTCATTTTTTTGCTAATCTGTCGATGGAGAGGATAAAGGACAATGTTTCCCTATCATGTCTTCCCGGACCAGTGAGGAGAAATAAAAGTGTACGCTGCGTTTGAATGTAGCTATGCAAATGAGCTCGGCGCCCACAGAACCCAACAGAAATGCCGTTCCATTACTTTGAAGAGATTTTCAGAGAGAGGCAAAGAGAGAGAGAGAGAGAGAGAGGGAGCTCATTAAGCGGAACTCTTTAAAGGGAAGAGCAGCCTTGTTCAGACAATTTAGCGCGTGTGGGGAAAAAAAAAAGCGAGGATACCTGTCGAACTATGCGATCGCTAATCTCTTCCATATTATCTCTCAACAAGAAAGCGTGTGTAGATCATTCATATCACACCAAATAAAAAGTCGATATTTTCGTTGAAATAAATATCCCCAAAAAGAAAAAGAAGAAAAAGAAGAGGAAACCGATTATGACATCAAAAATGCCAATTAGTTACTCCTTTGGAAATAGAGCCATTTCTTTTCCTATACAGTATACTGCCTGTTAGCAGATTGATTTGTATGAATCATTCAAGCGCACACAATACAGTAGATTACAAAGTGTGTGTGTGTGTGTGTGCGTGTGCGTGTGCGTGTGTATGAAAAGGTTTGTGGTTATTTATGAATACTTCAGTACTCCCACTCTCCCACAAGTTAAAAATGTAAGAGCGTATTTTACATCATCTAGGCCAAGATCCACAAAAGTCAATTCGTCTTTTCGGAATTTACTGTGATAATGAAAGAAAAAAAAAAGTCACTTGCTAATGAAAACGCCTGACAAATTGGTTTTTAAGTATTATTAATTCCAGAATTATGCATGTCTTTTGAGATCCCCGCTGTAATATTGCAAATACGCTCGCCGCATGCGTCAAGGCATCTCCATATTCGGTTTCCCAGTCCCATTAGAAAACAAAACATTTATAAGTCATGCAATTTATGTATAATGCTCAACAATGAGGGGATTTTTCTGAACGTGATCCAGGCAGCAAGCCTGTTTTTCCTTTTACACACAAACTCTTGTGCAAAAAATGTCGATTCAACACAACACATCTGTTTAGCCCAAGACGAAACTTTTCATTCATAATGTTGAAAATAATCATGACGAAGCCCGATGTTTTTGAGTGTTATTTCCAGCGTGGAATTTTTCACTCTGAAAAATGAATCCGGAATATGAGATGTGCTTAGGCGTTGTTTGTCTGTGCATGTCCTCGTTTTTTGTCAGAATTCAGCCGATCGGTCTGGTGGAGCGGATCCAGGCCATCGCCCAGAACATGTCGGACATGGCAGGGAGGGTCGAGCAGATTCTGCAGCGCAGCATCGCGAGCAAAAAAGGTGACATTGAAACCAGAGCTTCCTCACACAAACACGCACGCGCACGTACACACGGCCGCACACACCTGTCCTGCTCTCTCGCACCTCGGGAATGTCAACTAAAGCGGTCGCCCTTCAGATGAATCCCAGCCGTCCATTTCAAATCCTTGCAATTTGGAAAACACTTTCCTGCCCGCACGCGCGAGTCAAACTGTCAAAGTCTGACTGTTCTTGAATGCACAATTTATGAGTAACTTGCACTTGCCGGTTGAGCTCACAAAACATGGCAGGCATTCTTCACGACACATTGCCCATTCAAAGAGCGAAACCTTCATTTGTGTCATAACTTGAAGCACTCAGGTGATTCCGCGCGCCACAACACGTTCTCCAGTGCGCTCGCGTTAGAACACTCGAAGCAGGATATTTAAATCATGATGATGAATGATCTTTGAGGCTGAAGCCATGCGGCTCTGTCGGCGTTGTCATGAGCTGTCACTTTCGATTCCTGCGTCGGGTACGAAGCAAAAATCACATTTTAATTCACGCTGCTCTTTGTGACAACAATCCAGCAGGCCGTCTCGTTAATGTGTCATAACGTCCGATAACATTGAAATGAGCTTGATCCAAGTGCAGCGTTACAGAAAGTTTCTTTTTTTAAGTCATGCTGCTATCATGCTAATAAGACCTCGTGACTGATGAGGTGCTGTATGGTGGAGAAGCTGCAAGCGCTCCCCTAATTGGGCTCACTAGTGTCGGGGATGTGAGGAGAAGGACGGATGGAGACGGGAAGGAGGTGCAGAGAAATAAAGACAGAGTGAATTAATTGAGAAAGGGGCTGGGGAGAGGGGGGGCATTGCAAAGGTGGCTAAGGGATAATAAAACCTGACATGGTCATTAAGCCACATGAGCCATGTTAGGCCAATAACTTGCATGAGCTTGGTAGCTACTTACAGTATATGCCCTAATTTGTCTTTGTTGACAAAGAAGCGGTAATCCGTGCACCGGACAAAATATTAGGGGCAAAACGGAGCCTTTTTCAAAAAACTTGAATTGACACAAAGCAGTGTTTTCAGGAACATTGAACAGCATGAATTGTCATCGCGCTGAATAGTATCAAGAGAAATTCACCATGCAACTACAGTACTGAAAAATATAAAACACTCCTTTGAGTAGAAGTCACGTAAAAACATTTTCTTTGTTGTTATTATATTCCGTGTACACCCACGAGTCCAAACATGACCTTCCGCTTAATGCTGCATCTGTGGAATATGAATGAAGCAGTTTTTATCCATCCCAAGGGGGCGGCCATTTTGCCACTTGCTGTCGACTGAAAACGATATCACAGTGCCTCAGCGGGAACGACCGTCATGGCTCACCTGTTTTCGAGGTTTGGTCGTGTGATGTTTGCGAGATGAGCTGTGATTGGTCGTTACCCGAACCCTGAGCAACCGTGATGTTATTTTCGGTCGACAACAAATGGCAAAATGGCCGCCACCTGCGATGGATCAACATGGGTGAATTTTACTGCCGAATTCATATTCTACAAACACAATATGAATCAGGACGCCGTGTTTAGAATAGTGGAGCAACGTGGAACATATTGTTAAGAACATTCATCCAGTTGGTCGCTCGCTAGTCGGTGAAACTTAATAGAGGGAGCAGTCTACAGCTTCATTCCCTGCTTCTTGTCATACAAGCGCAAGGCAGAACTCAAATACATATGATACCCGTCAAAGAAAATCCAAACCTCACTGCTGGGAATGGCGCAAAATGACCGTACAGAACTGGCCATTGCTAAATAGATAAAGAAAACGTCCGCTCGGTCATCCATATGACTACAGATGTTTGACTAGCATGACACCGAAACACTTTGTAAGGCTGAAGAAAATGTGTTTCTGCTTTGAATGTGAGTCCCCTTACTTGACTGGCATTGGCATTAACTTGTGTAGGATATTCTTTTGTCCCCTTTCTTCTGTTCCCACATTCCTTTCAGAAAACGTGTCACAGAAAGCCAAAGGAAAAAGCAAAACACACTATTAAATCTTTTGACGCTGGCTGAAATGAGGTCGAGAGAGATGTGCTTTTGTGTGCCTACAAGCTCTGATAACCGCCGACTTTTCTTGTCTCCAGTTAGGGAAGGAACATTGGGACAGTGTGACATTCCAAAAGACCCTCATTATCCAGACTGCCCCGGCAAGATGGATGTAAGTCTGCCTTGAGTGTGGATTGCAAAACTATTTTGCACACAGAAAAACACATTTTTTTGTCCGTCTCTGTGCAGCAGAGATTTTTTGTAATACGAACTGAGACAAACACTCCTCGTGGAGTTCTGGGTCGTCAAGATTGGTACATTTCAAGTGGCCGAAGGTACCATATAGCCTTTGGCTGGAGCTGTGTGTGTGTGTGTGTGTGTGTGTGTGTGTGTGTGTGTGTGTGTGTGTGTGTGTGTGTGTGTGTGTGTGTGTGTGTGTT